TGGCTAGCACGCATTCAAGGTCATTGTAGCGTTTGCACTCCTGGGTCGTGTTACTTTAAATCAGCTGTTTTATGTTCAGCTATACTGAAAATGTTTTTAATCGAAATGTTTACACCCCTGGAATATCTATTGTAGCATTCGTAGCATTCTAATCCCTCAAAATGCCAGACTATTGACTTCTCCCTTGGGCATAAACGAGATCTACAAATACTAGTAAGTTCTCATGAAGCCTGTTGCATTGAGGAGACTAAAATTGAAACTAAGTCTAATGCACAATACCTCGGTCTAGTTCTATCTTCTGACCTTACTTGAACATATCATATCCTAACGATTTCTAAGAAAGTGTTCTGTCTAACCTACTACATTAAGAAACTTAGGCAATCTGGAATCACCCAACCTCTACTTTCACAATTTGTCAACTCTTGTATCTTGCCTATTCTACTTTACTGCTCCCCGTTAATCTTTCCTGGTCTATTGAAAAAGGACTATACCATCCTGAGAAGGATGTTGAAGGTAGTTAGTAGGACTAGTGGTGTAAAACTCAATCAGCTCGTCACTACATTAGTTGAAAGACATCTGAATACATGCGAAAAATGGTATAAAACCATACTCTCCGACCCCCAACACCCCCTCTGTTCCCAACTCTCTCCTTGTATCTCATCAAGTAAAACCAGAAATCAGTATAAAATAATCTATGCTCGTACAACCAAGTACAGGAACTCAACGATACCATACTTGGCCCGTGTTCTAAGTGACAGAGACAGTGTTAAGCGTGAAACCTATGACTTGCTTTGTTATTAACAACATAATTTTAGGCTCTTTTATTTCTCTCTTATTTTGTATTCTATAGTGAACTCCTTCTCAAACATACTTAGCTACCTTAATTATTAACATTGGCTTACTTTTGTACTTTACTGTATTCCTTCTTTTGTGTATCTACTGGTCCCGACTATATTAGCACTATGAGTATTACAAAATTTTCCTGTCATTAACCATCATGTAATTATTAGTTTTGTGGTTGTTTTTTCTTATTTTCTATACTTTTCGGCAATATTAAACTGACAATCATTGGTTGTGAACGCCATTATCACCATCTTAAAATTTTGTATTATGCAGGATTACTCACACTACCACCACAAACACCGCATTAGAGCTGTCAATAAAAAAACAACCCTGAAATGTTATTTTATGATTGTTTAGAGTTGTTTCAACCAAGTTAACTGATCATCTTGGCGATAAACATTCTTAAATATCATTTCATAACTTCTTGTATGACTATAGCTTTACTGTCACCATGCATAATCATATCATAGCTTCCACTACCCAATACTGAGTTATTATTATATGCTGTTTATTTTCCTTTCTACTTCTTGGTATTTTTTCGCATTTTTTAAAAATTATTTTGTTTTTCCTGTTGTTTTTTTTGCTGTTGGTGTCTTTATATTTATTTTTTTTGAAATACTCCTTTCAAATGTTTGATAAAATTAGATGCAAATATAGTAGATATGTGCTGAAAATTCCACACTGTACCACTAGTACTGTTTCTGGAATAAAGCAAATTATTATTAATATTATACAATTCGTGAAAATACCATGAGATTACTTAAATCTTCACGCGTAAATATGCACTTTAAAGATTCAAGAGTATGTTTACTAAAACTCACTTAGTTTGTAGTTGTTGCTAATTTCTTTTAGAAAAATAATGTCAAGATAGGTGGTTTGATGGTCAATCACTTTTAATTTATTCAAAAATTCTGTCACCTGTTTAAGCATTGAACCCATTCAATCTTTCAATGTCTCAATAATCAGTTTGTTTTAATAATTGCGACGTAAATAAGTCTTTTTATAGTGTCAAATCTCGTGAGATATCACAATTGTTGATACAATTTGTTTATGCATTGACTAACTTCTTCTTTACCACTTGACCGTGATGGTGAATTTTGTTATTGTAAACACACTTGAGTTTATTTCTTATTCAAAAGTACTCAGTACAACAGTTGGAAGTGTACATTTTGATCATTGAACATTGAATGTTCTATAGAGAGGGAGAGATGAGTAGTTTGCACATCATTAGTTCAGGTATTCATTTTAAAATATCTATTTTATTAGATTTATACTTATTTCAACAGTTATTATTTGACAATTATCGACTGTTTTTGATTAAGTTGTGTTTCCTGAGATCATTGATTTAATTGTGAAGCTTTTGGTGTCCTTCTAGACAACATCTTCAGCTCAGGCTTTAATATAAACTGAACTTTTTGATTGGACACTAGTCAGTAACTAGTGTGACGTGTCTAGTCCTTTCTTTGGTGCAAACTGAATTCTATGAGTCAGGTTTGCAATGTGGCCACCATGCCACTAGGTGGCTCACCATTATGGTGCACATTGATTTGATGATATTAGATGGTAGGAGGCAATCAGCAGGAAGCCTTGCTTGACCTAGGTTTCGTGCTAGTTGGCACTCACGAGTCAGCAAGACAGGCGTATCTGCAACCTTGAAGGAACTCATGTCCCTTCTGAGATTCAAACCCGCGTCACCCAGTGACTGCTGCAGTCACTCGAATAGTTCAGTGGTAACGTCTCTGACTGCAGCAGTCACTGGGTGACGCGGGTTTGAATCTCAGAAGGGACATGAGTTCCTTCAAGGTTGCAGATACGCCTTGCTGACTGGTGAGTGCCAACTAGCACGAAACCTAGGTCAAGCAAGGCTTCCTGCTGATTGCCTCCAACTATCTAATGTCATCAAATAAACTGAACTTATTGAGATTCTTGGTGAATGATGATATAATTATACCTCTTAACAACTTTGGAAAAGTTCAACAATAGCGTCCCAAAGGATGCACAGACATGGGTGACCTTCAGCCGACCAATCATAAAAATGAGGAACTTTCGCACAAAATATGACGTTCATTTTTCAAGGGAATGCATGAAAACACACATTAAACAGGTTATCATTATCTGACATGACTCAAAAATACGTCCCAGTTATAATTAGGAGTATCAGTTGCTAAGTTAGGCTAGTTTCTGTACATGTATTCACTGAGGTGACAGAAGATGAGCTGTTTTGGTGAATCGTTTATCTCTCTTATCCTGTTGTACAGTTCTCACCAGTAAGAGGATCGGTGACTACTTACCAGGAAAATGTGGATAATAAAACAAATTAAAATAAATGACATCAACTATAGATATATCCCAAATTGTAACCCTAACCTTTACCCTGACTTTAACTCTAACCCTAACCCTAACGAGCTATTAACGCATTGTAGAAACAGTACTTAAAAATGTGATCTAGCTGAAATTTGCTGCTTAGCCGGTGAATAGCGTTGATATTTCAGCTATGAGAATGACAGGTACCGATGGCCAACGACTAGCACGCGTTCAATTTCATCGGAACGTTCACACTCCTCGGGGACGCCATGGTTGAACTTCGCCCCAATTTTTTCGCAATTAGTTGTTAATTTACCTCTCTGTTGGTCATTTTTATTGACTTGAGATTTGGACTTTCTTGTCATGTAACATATGATATTTGTCGTCATATCCACGTTGGTGGGTCCCTACAAGAAACACCTTCTCAATAAAACTCCAAGCACTCTATTCTGTCTCTAGTCACTAGACAGAATCAGGTTAATTTTCAAGTGTCAACTTGTAGAGATTTAATTGACTACAGGTTAGACGACGAATCAATATCATTTTACATTTCATCTCAAAATAACTTTCCGATAGTAAAGTTTAAATTTAAGGTGACATTTGTGTAGAACAATGAAAATGTATTACGCGGTGCAGAATCTGAAACAAGACTTCACTGTACGACAAAATTTATTCTTCATAATCAATCTAACTTGAATTTGTGGGAACTCTCATCAAATAAGATGTAGTGACTTAACATTTCTGACTTTGTTCGCTTCACGTCCTGTTTTCAGAGATTCCTGCTAAGTATAATTCAAAACTCACATTTTCATATGCTTTGAAGGTTTTACCCCGACATTAAAACATCCTATGGATTGATACTGTATTGGAAATTCACGATTAGATTTAATTTCAGCAGTACAGTGGGCTTCAAATATTGTTTGTCCCCAAGAGTGTATTTCGTGCATTTCGTCTTGTTTCGGGACTCATCAGGGGAGGGGGATAACGCTTTGGCGTTCGAAACGGTGGGTACTGGGTCTGAGCCTCAATATGAAGATCATCATTCACTGGGGAATGCACGTACATCCAGTTAGTTGATGACTCCTAAAAAGGGGCGAAATACGCGTTAAACTGGATTCCTGTGGTAGTCACCATCCACTAAATTACTTAAGATTAGTACCCATACATCGTTGAGGTCGCGGTACTAGAAGATAATAAATCAACAATGAACCAACTTTCAGTTCAATCAATCAAAATTAAATTAAAAATTAGAGTACACAAAATTAAAGTGTTAACTGTTCACGTTTATTATTTCAAATATAAACTTTAGCTACTAATAAGTAGTTAGCATAAAATATAGAAATTAAGTGGACAATAATCCATTCACAATAATTTGATTGTTGAATGGAGACTACTATATCTGTATCAGTAATTACAGTGTACACATCGCATAGGAAGTAGATTTCAAATTCCATTGGTTGTACTTTCAGAGTTGGTGACTTCTTACACATTCATTTGTGGTCTGAAATGATGGCCACAGGAAAAGAATCCGAGTGGGAATACCATTATTCAAAGAGAATATGGATACATGCATCTGATGAGTTCCAGTTAGGACGAGATAGGCAGTCGAAAATTCCACTGCTAGTCACCAACAGTCGAGGTGAAGTGTAACACTTGCAGAATTAGGGTCATTCGTATACTGCTGGCCAACTTCATCCCAAACAAGCAGATCAACCCTCTGGTATTCAGATCAGATTATGAATTGGACGTAATAGCTGTAGTACACAGCAATTATATTGTTTCCAGCCATTATTTTTATTGATCTCATTTTTCTTCTAATGAACGTTTACAGTAATATTTTATTACTTTTTTAAATGATCGTTTCAGGTCCCTCGACTTCGTTAGCCTGTGCTCTGGCAACTGACAATCAATTTGGAGGGAAAGAACTACTCTCCTTTGTATTTAGTACTGTATTAACTTATATGGTTCCATGTATTCTACTTGTATTTATCAATTCAATTATTCTGATTAAATTAATTAGTGTTAAAACACGTCGACGTATACTTTGTAAAAGAGAACATACAAATGCACACTTGATCAATTGGACTAGCAATGGAAAGTCAACTATTACACCACAGAGTGATCCAACATCACCGACTAAAGCGTTAACATCTGCACTGGCTACAATGCTATTAAAGCGTCGAAGACATACTATTCTAGAAGATCGTAAAGAACTTGGACGAGTTGTAGCCTTGTTATTATTATCATGTTTTTATTTATGCTTTACATTTCCAGTGAGTATAAGTCTGACAATACGTGCTAGTTTAAATGATCAACATGACAAATGTGTACATACACTTTATGCACATTTATCAAGACTATTGACATCTATAAAAGATATTAATTATGCACTGAATGGTTATACATATGCACTATTTTTTCAATTTTATCGTCATAAATTACTAAAGTTTATTACCTGTAAATTTACTACTTCTGCTAATAATAAAATAATACTTACTATACTCGTCGTGATGGAAATACAGCCACTGGTTCAAGGAATAATAGACGCAAATCGTCATCGACCACGTGAACAATTAACGCCGGAATCTGTTTTAAAGTGAAGATAATGAGAATAAAAATAATAATAATATTAAAATGACAAATTTAGGCTTTTACAATCCTATCAACCAAAAAAGTAAACCACATCACTTTTGTCGCATATTGAACACATTGAACACTGAGGACGTTACCTACCATGACAGCGTACTCGCCGCGAAAATTAACCAATCAGTTGTTTGTGTAAAAAAAAGAAAATCTAAAATCTGTAGGTACAATAAAATCGTATGAACATTTCTTTGATGTATTGACAGTGTACTTTCAGTTACATTGCATTAAACACACTTTTTGATTCTTCTTCTTTCTCATGATTTTGTTCAAAGATAAATTATCTTAATTTTTATGTGTGTTCTTTCTACCTCTAACAGTGTGCAATTTATATAGTATTTATTTACTTATTTATATATATATATGTGAATCTGTAAACGCATTTCTCCTCTTTTTTTTGTTTAATAAACAAAGATAATTTTGGGCAACGATTTTTCTTTTCAAGAATTTTTACAATTTGTAAGTTGTACAGTTTGAAACAGTGGAATTTCACCACTACTGTTTCTTTTGGGAGCCAATATATTAGGCAAAGTTTAACTCTAGGCACCACTAACTACCAATGAGCAAATGCCCTAGAATGCGCCAATCACGTGAAGGAGGCATTTTTGTGTATAGATTACAAATATATTTATGAAAAAAATTCATAAAAACTGTAGAAAAGTGTTACAGAGGATACCTTCCTCTCACATTTGATAAAAACAGCTCTCAGTTTTAGATTGGAGTATCAACAGAGCATAATTCTGTAAGAGGTAGGCTTGATTTAATGAAGACCTAAAACAACCACCCTTACAAAACTTATTCAGCACTTTCTGATCTTAGCTACACTCTGACTAACGTGAAAGTACTAACGGAGTGAATCAAGGTAAAAAGACTCGAGATGGCAAGTGTGCCTGGAAAAGAGTTATATTTCACACAAATGAGATATGAAATTTGATAAAAATAAAAGGTTATACACTTATCTGCTGCCTTGACCGTGGCAGGTTCGGAGAGTGCGCTTAATGTAAGCACAACGAGAGAGCGAACCCAAAAGGTAGAGGAGAGTCGGGTGGGGATATACGATATGATGAGTTAAATTTTCCGCGCCTCAGGTTTTCCCGTCTTTCATTGGCTGGAACAGGGGAGGTCAGTTTGATATTTGATTTTCCTTGGTAGGTGATGTCGTGTGCAGCCTTGTGTGCTTGCGTCATGCATTGTTTGTCAGCAGATGTGATGAATGTAAATGTAAACTTTGACTTATAAAACGTGCTTTTTTCTTTTTTTGTGCATGTACAAGGCTTGGTTTGTCATACACTTCGTTGTTCGGCCTGTCGGTTGCCTGCGATGTCAACGAACCCGTGGGTTTTTGTGCTTTTCTAGAATTTATTTTTTACGTGCGGTATATCTTGATGGATATTGATCAGTCATGTATTTCAATATTGCTTTCTTTACTGAATTATCTTGAGATAGTTGTGACATAAATGGATGCTAATTGACAAAGCCTTTTTAGAAGTTCATTGCAGGTAGTCAATTGTTTTTCGTACTTATGTCGGCCATGTTGAATTGCTTTGACCAAGTTGACTGACATTACCGGATATCTGTAAATAAGTGAACAAAGTGTATGCTTTTAAATCGCTGAAGTAAGGAAGAAGTAATATTAAAGTCAAACGCTTTATATTTGAATACCTTTGCTGAAAAAGGTTCATTTTCCTTTTTCATTCTTTAATAATGACAGCAATTTTCTGTAGTTTTCAATGTCACACAGAGATTGTTCGTCTTCTACAGTATAGCAGCAAGCAAATAATAGTAATTTAATATGTCCTATAAACGGGTATTTACAAGGAATGCATGTATTTTCTACAGGCACAATAGGTTATGTAATGAATTACAATCCTCAAGTATCATAAAATAATACTTTTTCAAAAGTTTAAGTCGTTCAATTAGTATACGAGTAATTAGAACAGGTTATGATAAGTGTTAACTTGTAAACCATTCACAATGAACACTGTACAGAAAACTTCATCACATCTTCATTTTAATCGACTTCTCCTTCACGCACAGAAGCATGCAGTCACTACATACACTCAAGCATTGTAACCTGAACATTACAAAATCCCTACAGATAACTTCTTTCATAATAAATGATTTGAACATATGAGTCATAGGTGCATCTTCTATATCCTTCATAGGCACAAGTAATTCATTAAGGATCTCAGAATATTTTAGTGATCTGAAGACGAACAATTGTTGAGACTGCGATAGCTTATGTAACAGGTGCAGTACTTGTAGGACACACCTGGTAGCTACTAATCGACAGAAAGTTGATACTAATTTTAAGTAGTCTGATATATCACGAGGACCATCTACACTATTCTTCGTGACCCGATGCACACTCATATAAACATAATCTGATGCCATTTTTGACAATGAACAATTAAGGCCTTCTGACATTCCAAATGCAAATGTCAATTAAACTAGTATCATATCTTCGCTTAAGAAATTTTAACTGGGAAGTTCATCAAAGTAGATATAATCACCAGGAAATGCAGCAGCCTGTCTCATTCATCGCATGATCTCTTCCATGTGTTATGGAATATTTCAGTCATCACAGATGATAAAAGAAGTGTCTAACATCCTCAAAACACACATCTAACTTATGTCTAAATGCACGATTCTCATAGAATAACTGAGATGACAACAGCTATTGCCTGCAGTCAATTTACAACCTTAAGATCTGAAACAACTCACAAAAAACAATGCCTCAATGCTCTAAAACCCTAATAATAATCTTTTTATGCGATATTTCTTCAAAATGATCACTTTTTTTCATTAACAATTTTTTTTTTTTTCTAACGCGCGCTCCTTGAATACGACGTGACTTTTCCTCTCTAACCGGAAAATACCTATTTTGTGAATTATCCGCTTGGGAAACCTGATCTTCCTAGCCGGTGAATTAAATTCAACCATTACTTACATATCGAATCTCTGTGTGGTAAGTCCAGCTGTCTCGAACTACTGCCAAAGCTTCAGGTGCTATTTTTGTAGCAGCATCTTCCCCACTCGTTCAGATAAACAAGACTTGTTGGTCTACCACGTGATTGCTGTGAAGCCGATCATCCAGAAAGTACTAGGTAAAGTCGAAAACCTTTTCTTTTCCTTGTCTTGTACTTTTTCAGTCTTAATCTTTTTCTTGTGGGTAGATACTGTTGCACTTTTATTCTTATACAGCATAAGTCTTAGCGATAGTTAATATGGCTGTAGAAAGTAACCTTAAAAATGGCACCAAAACACCTTACTCTGTAGTCACAAGGGCTTCAGCCAGAGAAGGCAAAAACGCAGGGACACCAACCCCAAATTGCATACCCATCCTAAAGACCCGTGTAGGACTCGTCTGTCCGGATACTATGCCTGCAGTGCCACAGTCTAGTACTGAAACGGCTCAGGCAATACTAGTAGGACAGGATACTACTACACCTGCACCAACTAAAAGCCAATGTGTGAAGTATAACAAACCTAAAAGGAAACGCTCAAGACGTCATAAGACCTCGAAGGCGTCACCAAGTAAGGGAGACGAGTGCCAGGCGTGCAATATCATTGTTTCTAAAGCTGACTCAGCTTTCGAATGCAATTTTTGCAAACGGTGGGTGCACTGCCGTTGCGACAAAGAGGTACCGAAATCATACTACGAGTTTATGAGAAATAACCCATGCCCGTGGTTTTGGTACATCTGTCCACTCTGTCGCCCTGGTGTAGTCACACAGAGCGTGTCTGCGGCTAGCAGAAACAACACGCCGCCCTTGTGTCCCAACACGGTCTTATGTAGCTCCCCACCTGCTAACGTCACATTGCCAAAACTTGGCACAGACAGTAAGAAGGACACTCCTGTCCTACTGACCGAAAATGCCAATTTTCACCAAGGTGAAGATTCATAAGGCTGGACCTAAAAAATCAAGGAAAGATAGAGTTAGAGAAGCACCACTTGCATCCACAAGCAAGCTTGGCAACACAATAAAGGCTGGTCAGAACCCGATGAAGCCTAAAGTTGCTGATGCTGCAAAGGAATATGAGAAGCCAAAGGCCAAACCTAAGTCTGAGGTTAATCGGTCTAATTCGCTCATCCTCTTTAACGTACCTGTGAGCAAGGACAGCTTGCTTGAACAGCGGGCCCTGTTTGATCAGGAACAGTGGTCCAACCTGTGCAATAAACTAGGTCTGAATATTAGTTCAGTGAAATTGTGCAGGCTGTACAGGGGTGTCCACACACCTCAAGGTAAGCCACCCCCATTACGGGTTACACTGGACTCTGCCGAAGAGGCCGAAAAGGTACTATTGATGGCTCAGGTACTAGCCATCGACAGAAGCTCTAACATAAGGGTGAGACAAGACAGACCATGT